TATATATATATATATATATATGTTTTACTTTAAGCCCATTTTCATCAAAAAATATGTTATATGATAGTAGTTTTGAAGAAATGTGCACATTTTCATCAAACGATTACATTTATGCATAACACTAATCTACATTATTGTCATATTAATAAATGTTTAAAATTACATTTTTTTTATTTGATATAAAGATTAATGGTCAATGTCCCTAACCTTTTTTCTCCACAGTCAATTTTGACCATTTCCAAATCCTGAGGGCAATAGGAAAAGGGAGCTTTGGAAAAGTAAGTATTTACTTATGACTTATTTATTTATTTATTTTGTTGTTTTTGTCACACTGTATTGCATTTTAAAATATACACTCTTGATTTTGAGTAGTCAGAGCCCCCCCCCCCCCCCCTTCACCCAACCAAACAACAACAACAAAAATACATATATACTATATTACAATTCAATTAGGCTGGTGAAATTTCTGCAATGAATCAAAGAGACAACAAAGTAAAGAACTAAACCACACAACACTGATGTGAACAAGAATTCAACAAAGCACCAAGAACGGTTTGGAGGCTGCTAGAGTCAGGAGTAATACGTCTGACCAACAATCATCTACAGACAAGAAAAAAGTTGAGAGAACACATAACTGAGCTTTACAACACATCAAGGAAAGAGGAATAAATCATACATCGTAAAGACCACTGTAACACACGAAAGATATGATACTCAGTAATGTCAAGTTAAAATCATTAGACATATGAATCTATCAAATGGTAAATGGATTGTACTTATATAGCACCTTTCTATCTTATTAAGATACTCAAAGCACTTTACACTACAATCTGTGCCCTCATTTACCCATTCATACAGCACTCTACTAGATCTATACAAAGACTAATCAGTGCTTTATCACATTTATACATCGATGTGACACATATCAGAGGCAATGAGGGGTTCAGTGTTTTGCCCAGGGACACATCAGCATGTGACTGCTGGTGGAATCGAATCCCCAACTCTTGCATTGGAGTGGGACTGCTCTAACCACTCAGCCACAGCCACCCGCATTAACTGAAAAAGACCTATATAAAACATTTAACATAGCACAAGTACAAATGATCAGTTTGTAAAATACCAACTATAAAAGCTGCACCAAAAATATTCAAATAGTCAAATATTTTTATACTGGATGCCCTTCCTGATGCAACCACAGACCACCGAGCTACGAGCTCCTCTGTGTGGAGCAGAGAGCTGCCATCTAGGGCACACGGGGGAGCAGATGGGGAGTTAAGGGCCCAGAGTGGGGCAAATGAGGGTGGAGTCAGGTGTGGGTGCTTCAGTTATTTCACCCACATTTTAATGTCTTCGGTGCTGGGAGTTGAACCAGCAATCATCTGATCACAGGCTCACCTTCGCTAACCTCTGCGACACCACTCCCAGTAAAATGCTCAAATATTTTAGATAATTTGGAGCTTCCTAGGAGGCTGCAACCACTGATCAGGTTCCTTACTGGTTAAAATCCCCAAACAACACAGATAAAACTTTTACTCTTTTCAATGTGGCCATTTTTCCCTCTGTGAGTCTGGAACTGATTCAACCAAATACCCTTCATCTTTTTTGCTAGTTTAGTTCCCTTTTTGTTCTATTTATCAAGAAGAAGGTGTAACAATTCACTCACATGCTTCTTTTGGGACATTTCCATTTCACTCTCCAGTAATTTGTGTTGCAAACAGAGTTTTTATATGCAAATGCTTTATTATGGAAGCGTTTCATGATTACAAACTGGAATGGAAATTAGTTTTGGGTGACGGTGGAGTTTTCTGAAAGTGAAAAGAAAAAAAACAGTGCATGCACATTTGTGTCTTTATGCACACACACAAACTGTAAATATGTGTTTCTGCATGTTTATTCTGTTCCATATAACACATGGGCATGCATGTTAAAATCAACAGCACACCCTTTATCTGGTTACGCAAAATTATTATATATATTCTGATTTATTTTTTACTGTTTATTTAACTCAAAATAACAGTCTGTACCACCACAGAAACAAAGGAGATGAGGGCACTCTGCTTGTTAAGCCACAATGTAATTCAATTCTGCGCCTATAATTCCACGTATAAGGAAGTGTGCATAGTTGGAGATGGACACAGCATCAGTGTGCCGTCCCACAATAGATAAGCAGTCTAATCACTGTGGAAGGCAAGCTGTTCAGTTTGAGGAGTGATGTGATCAGGGTTGGGCTGATTAATTGTGCCAGCTGGTCCACACATCACTCTCTTAGAAAGCAGTAATCATTGGCTTATTGATGCTCAAAGCACAGATGAGAACAGCACAAACAAATGAGGCACATTACAGCTCAGCATAGTGAAATCTGACATGTCAAAATATAATACAGATGTTTATTTTTTAATCATTCTGACATCCAGCCAGAAACAAAAACTCCACTTATAGTGTTTTGTATTCTGCATCTTTCCGACATCAGTCACGCCGTTTAGTTTGAACAACCAGACTGCTCCATCGACTGCAAACATTCTTCTTCTTTTTTTTTTTTTTTCCCCCAGAATTGCAAACAGTGTTGGTGCTGATAGGTAGAAACTGCAAAGAAAGGATTCAGTTCATGGTCATGAAAAGAGTTAATTGATGATTGACGTTTTTAGTTTTCAACAACAGCAGGGGTTACACAAGTTCTCTGGGTTTATGCGTCAAATAAAATAAAAGGTTAAGCAAAAATCAATGAATGATGAAAAGAGCCAAGCTATATTTAAACATTTAGGTGAAAAAAAAAACAAAAAAACATATTTGTAGCTTTTTAATGAGTAAATTTTAAACATGAAATGCATTTTATTATTTGTTGAAGGGATATCTCTACATTATTATATTATTAGTGTATACTTAGTTCATATCTTAGATATCAATACTGTTTTCTATTAAAATTTACACTTTTCTTGGATGTAACTGGGACCCTGTGTACATAATTTCATTCCACCACATGTATCACATATGATGCGAATGACAATAAAGAAACCTTGACCTCACAAAAATATAAATATTATTAACTACTGAAATAGCAGGTTTTTGCTATTATGGGTGTTATTTATACACATATTTGTTTGTGTTATTCAGGCTGTTTTTAGGTGTCCCTCAAAGAGTTTTTCAGCACTTTTTAAAATAATGATGAAACATGCTATCATGCTGCTATAAAATTTGTCTGGCACCTAAATGTTTTGTAAAATATTAAATAACTCATTGCAAACTATGCAATCTAACTAAATAAGCACATCCTGATCTATATGAAATAGTGCAGTTCAAATAAGTTTATTCCTATAGTTTTCTAAATATACTGATATGCAATTCTGGATTGCAGGTATGTACTCAATGTAAACAAAGCGTTTTTATCTGCATACTTCTCTCAACATAAATGAGTATAAATATGCACCAACACATCAAAATATTCAAACTTCTCAATCTCAATGGTTCTTCCATGACCGTCCCTATTGTTGACCTATTTTCAGTCACTTTAACTATTTTTGTTAGTAATCAAGTGCATGTGGTAGTTAGCATCTGGTCACACATACATTTTGAGTTTAAGGTGTAGTATGACATATGCTTAGTTTGACATCAGGTTAGGTTCACTACAAAGGAACTATTAACTATCAATATATGAAAAGTAATGTTTATCACTTTTTGAATTTTTATGACAAGTCTTCCTGACCTTGCAGTGAGTTCTCTATAAAAAATAAAAACAAATTGTAGAATGTTGTCAGGCTGTTAAAACCTTACACATTGTATAACAACAAAGCACTTGCCATGTTCTGATTTGAACAGGTCTGTATCGTGCAGAAGAAAGACACTAAGAAGATGTACGCCATGAAGTACATGAACAAGCTTAAGTGCGTGGAACGCAACGAAGTGAGGAATGTCCTGAAAGAGCTGCAAATCATGCAGAACCTCGAGCATCCTTTCCTGGTGAATTTCTGGTAAGCCGGCATGAATTTAAAGTTTATAGATATATATATTGAAAATTTATTTTCAGGATATCTTAAAATTTGTTGATGGACTTGGATAAATGTGAACCCGCACCATAGGCGACCATAACCCACAAAAGGTTGCGTTTTAGCACATAAAATCAATTTGATCGATTTAACAGTGCACTCTGTCAACCTTTTAATTTTTATGGTGACTGGACTCTGTCCATTAAACCAGAAGATGCAATAACACAGTGAAATAGCATCACCCGCGAGAGAAACAACTATCGTTGGAGGCTGTATTACTCAGAGAGGTGTTGACCACCAAGGAACACTTAGAAGCCTCCATGTCCGTCTCACCCGTTGACGTTGCTAAAAGGAAAACGGAGTTTGCTCACTGATCCAATCTTTTTAAAAGGATGTCCTTCCCCTCCTAACGTTGTCTCATTGCGTTTGGTGCTGAGAGAATCTTTCCCTCAGCAACTCATTTAAACTGCAAGTGCTGATCTTAGATGAGTCATCAGGTGCTAGTTCTTATTCATCATTGTCTGTAAGCCAGAGTTTATTGAGCACCAGGAATCCTACTTTTAAGACGCCTGATAAGTAAGGCTTGTTAAGCTTTCCTTTGAAAGGCATCATTAATTCTTGATAAGCACTCCAGCTCTACAAGAACAGGAAGCCACTCTGGCTTTCTGGCAGGCAGATGTGAAGATGAAGTTGGTTCAAAGACAAAAGAAGAATAGCTGCAATCCTCTGCAGTCTACATTTTATTTATTAAAGCATGCATGTATTTATTAAACACATCTCCAGTCGCTGGTTTTGGGAATCTACTATTCAAATACTTGACCAAACTAGATGTGATAGAATGAAATAAGTGCAGAAAGTCATGAAGAAAGGTGTTTAATCCCACATAGCAAAGAGGTTAGAGAAATCCAGAGAAGTGAAGTGTACAGACTCATCAAACAAACAATGCTAGGGTTAGCTTTCTTGCTTGATTACATGCTGTGCTGGCCAAAAAAAAAGAAGCAGGAAGCTAATACTGTTGGCAGTCTAAGCCCCAATGGGTGGGGATGATTCCCTCTGGAGATGTGCTTGGGTCAGCGCTGTGCCCACTCACCCACCCTATCTGTTTTCTTTCTGTCTGTCTCGCTGTGTTGAGTTGGCACAAGTTATGATTGTCCTGTGATAACTCAAGGTCAGAGGCAGGGGGAGACCACCTGCAAGTCAATGCACTGCGCTGAGCCAATTATATGCAGAACACCATCGCCTGCTCTGTCTTTTCTTCGTTGTTGTGCTCTTTTTTTAAATTCACCATGTCTTCCTTCACCCTCCTTTCTTCCCTCCTCTTTTGCATTTTCCTTCTTCACCACCTGCTCCACTTTCATGTTCTTTTCTCCTGCTGTCACTGCGCTTGACACTGGTGGCCACAAGGTTTGACCTCAGATGTACATCAGCTCTGTGTATGAAGCAAAACAACAACCAAGAATTTGGAAAGTGAGGGGGGTAAAAAGTTATTTTTGACAAGTTGGTTTTGAATTCATCAACACATTTTAGCCCATCTATGGTTTTGAAGAATTTCAATATTTGTAATGATTAGTTCCTTGATATGCCAGCTTCAGTATTGCATCTTGTTCCACCTACAAGTCCTGATGTGCAAAACGAACCATTGCTGATACTGCTTTAAAATATACCCAACAACAACAACAACCACATTTTAGGTACACTTGGTTAGTACAAGGTTGGACCCTGTTTTATCTTCAAAAATGCTCTAATTCATCATGGCATAGATTCATTAGGCGTTGGAAACATTCCACAAATATTTTGGTCCATTTTGACATGATAGCATCTTGCAGCTGCTGCAGATTTCTCAGCTGTGCATCCATGTATATCTCATTCCTTCCCATCCCAAAGGTTGGGATTTCAATTGGATTGAGCGGCCATCTACTTTGACTGGCTGGGGTTTGAGAAGGCAGGAAGGAGAAACAAAAAAAACATGGAATAGCAGGTCCAGGTGTACTTTCTAATGGAAGAAAGACAAAAAAAATGTTAAGGATAGAAATATCTACACATTCAAAGAGGTGGAGTAGAGCATGCAAAGACAGAAGCAGAGTGAGGAAATGTGGGGAATTTGCCCTCTAACAGTCTAAGTCTATAGCAGCGTTAATAAAATATAGCTCCAAAAACCCAAGCCGACCCTAACTATAGGATTTATCAAAAAGGAAAGACTTAAGCCTAGTCTTAAAATGAGACAATGTGTCAGCCTTACAGACAGAAACTGGAAGTTGGTTCCACAAGAGAGGAGCCTGATAACTAAAAGCTCTCCCTCCCATTCTGCTTTTGGAAACTCTAGGAACCAGACGTAAACCTGCAGTCTGAGAGTGAAGTGCCTTTTAGAAAAATATAGAACAATAAGATCTGTAATATAAGTTGGAGCTAGGTTGTTGAGAGCTTTGAATGTTAGAAGTAAGATTTTGAATTATATTCTGAAATTGACTGGGAGCTAATGGAGAGAAGCTTAAACTGGAGAGATATGATCTCTCCTATCAACTCTCATTAAGACTCTGGCAGCAGCATTTTGGATCAACTGAAGTCTTTTTAAAGAATATTTTGAACCCCCAGATAATAAAGAATTGCAATAGTCCTGTTTCATGATACATGCATGGACCAGTTTTTCTGCATCATTTTTGGACAATATGTTTTTTTTTTTTTTTTTACTTTAGTGATATTACGCAGGTGGAGGGAAGTGGTTCTGGTAACTTTTTTAAATATGGGGGTTAAAAGATATATCCTGGTAAAAAAAAAAATAATAATAACAGCAACATTTTTAAAATTATAACTGGAGGCTAAATTAATGCCATCCAGTGAAAGTGAAAGACTGCAAAGTATTCCTAAGAAGCTCAGGTCCAAAAAACAAAACCACAGTCTTGTCTGTGATCAAAAGCAGAAAATTTAGGGTCATCCAGGTTTGTATGTCTTTAAGACATGTTTGTATAGTAGCTGATTGGATTATTTGGGATTTATGGACAAATATAACTGTGTATCATCAACATAACAATGAAAATTTACCTCATGCTGTTTAATAACTTTACCTAATGGAAGCAAATATAAAGTAAAGAGTATTGGTCCAAGCTCTGAACCCTGAAGAGCTCCAGTACTAACATTGGCGTATGAACAAGATTCATTATTTACATTTGCAAAACAAGTGTAACTAATGAAATGTATGGTGAGTGCAAATGCCAATGACAAATTATGCTTACATGTTAATGTGCTTAAAATATATATATATTTTTACTTATCATACACTTTAAACAGACACATGTCTGGCAAAATCTCAAAGAGAAACAATTTCTTGTCATTATGTACCAGGTGTTTGGTTTGATGTATTGAGTAAATTCACATGAATTCCATATTAAAACTGCTTCAGCCTGAACAAGGAGGCATTTTCTCCATACTGCAAAAATGTAATTTATTAACAGACCACCAAACTTTAAACACTGATGAAATTTCCAAAACTTTTTTTTTTTTTTTTTGGGGGGGGGGGGGGGGTGTGTGTATGTGTGTTTACTAAGTTACATATTTCCACATTAGTTTTTCTGAGAAAAACAAGATCTTCATACTTGGAAGGACAGTTATTTTAGTTTTGTGGATTAATGGTGAAATTAGCTTGAAATAACACTATTCAAGACTAATAGTGCTGGAATAAAAGCCAGTGAATGGTCTGAATGAAAGCCAGGGGGAAATAAATGCTTTTTCAGAGAAAAGAAAATCAGACCTGCCTAACTGGACAATTAAGAGAATGTAAGTGTTTTTTTTTTTTTTTCATTCAACCTTTATTTAAACAGATAAGTCACATTGAGCCTATAAGACTCATTTACAAGTGAGACCTGTTTGGACAGACCATACAAGTAGTGAAACTGGACACATGTAGGAATTGGAGGCGAAAAAATTCCTATCAGACTTTTTTTTTCCTGCCTGAGGAAAAAAATCTCTGATATTAAAAAACACCTCGCACAAACAAGCACATAGTGACGTAGACATTCTGCAGAGGGGAGATGACGAGAGTGGTCAGCATGTTCATAGATGCTCTTGAGGTCACTGTAAGAGTTCTGATAAGGATATAATAATCAGCCAATGTCCTCCGGTGAGATCCACAAACATTCTCGAGGTATGTCGAGGAATGGCCAAGAATAATGACTATGAGAATCCAAGAGCCCTGAAATGATGACACAAAGTTTATTCAGCTGGTTTCATATGGTTATCAGTTGGAAATTCCTCAGGGAGGGGGTGGTGAGCGTCAGATCACATGTTCTCCAGGCAAATTCAGATAAGATGGCTTTCAAAGCCAGCCAAGGGAGCCAAATTCAGATAAACACACAGATGTTTTGGGGACAGGCAAAACTTAATGACATCTACCTTGAGTCTGTGTTGGTCGACTCGTTTCTGAAATGTCCAAATTACATGGCCACACCGATGGAATGTGACTGAGTAAAATCCCCAAGATCTGATCCATTCTGCCCAAAGCATTTGAGTCTGGGTACTCGAGACACGAACCAAGCCATCATAAAGGCAAGCAGTGTGATCGGGTCCAAATTTGCTGCCGACAACTTCCTTGATTGATTGATAAAACCAGCAACCAGCCAAATCCAAAAAGCAGGAACCAGTTATCGAAAATCCAATTAAATATGCGTCCTTAAAATCCACAAATGGCAGCAGAGATAGACACATCATCATCAGTCTTCAAGTCGATGAGATATCCAGCTGCGTGCGTGCCAACAGGGCAAATCGGCTCACCTAAAGACTGTCTTCTCTTCGAAGAAATGTTGTAAAATGAGTTGAGGGACCAACTGATCAAAACAAGTCCATAATTATGGTTTGGAAGAAATGCAAGAGAGTCTCAGTAGCAGTTTCACAGACAGACAGAGCAGCAAAGCAAAGCGGAGAGGGAGGGGAAATGCGTCCGATCTCGGCAAGAGCAAGTGGTGAAGCTGTTTTCCACAGCTGAAACACACTGT